TCTGACTTGAACTGCCATTTTTCTAGACACACCAATTGTTAAGACCATGGAGGGTATTGTTGTTTGCACGTTGTAAATTTAAAAATAACAAGCTTTGACAAAATCCATCATTCACTCAACCCCCAAAAACTCCATTGTATTGACTGAGGAATAAGAGTACAACACATCCTAGAGAGAAGAAGAGAAACCCATATTTAGTTGCATATTAAGGAATATTTACTTACACTCAGACATACTTTTTCATCAACTGATTTCGTCCTACCATCATACATTTGATTCTTAACAAGAAAACCAAAGTGCTTAACACCCTTCTCTACTGATTTTCATATATCGCTTCATTTCTTTACTCATGTTTGTGTTGAATCCCACTGAGATCACCATTCCCTCTAGTTATGCTTATTAAGCCCATATTTTTCTCTTAAATAATTGAAATTTCTTATAACTCGTTTCTCCACGAAATTTGCAAATTTGCTTCATATATCAACTTTGTTAAACATGTTCCACTGCAATTCAATTTGTGAAGATAAAACAAGTTCTAGGATGATTGTGTTGGGATTGCTGAATTCATGTGTCAATTTGGCATTTTCTATTAGAAATATAATTGACAACTTAGGGTTTATACCCATGAATAATGATGAACTATATATATATTATAAAAGTTGGAATTCGTTATGTTTACATGTGTGTCTTTGTTTCCTGCACTAGCAAAAGATAAATGGACAGAGCTTTTGAATTCGAGATTGGGTGTGTTTCTAAAATTCTACGTACAGAATTTTGGTTGGGCGTCGAGGTTGGTACATTATATGCTTTGTTTTAGCTAGTTTGTAAGAAGAAGTATGTGATGTAGAGTCTCATTGGTGTAAACTTAACGAGGTCTTCACTACATGAGTTTGAATAGAAGATATGTAGATGGTTAGATAGATACCCACTATAAGAAGCTCATAATTCTTTCACCTCTTTTGTAGCATTTTTCCAGAAATCGAATACACAAATCAAAGTAGTTGCAAAGGAGAAGAT